CGTCCCACTGCTGACTTTCCCGTAACCGTCCCCCCTTCCCCTTCCCTATCACTCTCACTCACGCAACGACAAAAAAGCATGATGAACCTTTAACCTTCCCCCCAGCCACATTCCCCTTCGTTCGCCCCCTTCGTTCGCCCCCTTCGAAAAGCACGGATCCACGACGCACAATGCATGAATCCACGTTGCAGCGAATCCACAGAGAGCGAGAGAGAGAGATAAAGCACCGTTGCACCAAAGCACCGCGCACCGATGCACCAAAGCACCGCGCACAGATGCACCAAAGCACAAAAGCACGGAGCACAGCTGCACCAAAGCACCGAGCACCGATGCACCAGAGCACCGAGCACTGATGCACCAAAGCACCGAGCACCGATGCAGCATAGCACCGAGCACCGATGCACCAAAGCACCAAGCACCAATGCACCAAAGCACCGAGCACCGATGCACCAAAGCACGAAAGCACCGAGCACCAATGCACCAAAGCACGAAAGCACCGGGCACCGATGCACCAAAGCACGGAGCACCGATGCACCAAAGAACCAAGCACCGATACACCAAACCACGAAAGGACCGAGCACCGTTGCACCAGGCACGAAACAGTGAGCACGTAGCACCGAGCACATAGAGCACCGATGTAGAGCACTGATCACTGACCACTAAGCCTGCACGTAGAGCACACGCGCACCGATGCACAGCACTCGCGCACCGACCACGGAGCACACACTCGCACACGTTCAGAAGCCATTGACTTCGAAAGGCGGAATCATATACAGGCCGCCAACAAAAAAGTGGCGGTCGATTGGAGGGGTGGGCGGCAACATCGATGCGGGCGGGCGATTGGAGGGATGGGCCGCCAACAGAAAAACGGGCGGGCGGGCGATTCACCGCTTCCGGTACCAACCGGTGGGCGAGCGATTGGAGGGGTGGGCCGCCAACAGAAAAGCAGGTGGGCCGGCGATTGGAGGGTGGGCCGCCAACAGAAAAACGGGTGGACGGGCGGGTGATTCACCGCTTCAAGGGTGGACCGTGGAGGAAAAAGCGGCCGGGCCTGAGGGGGTGGACTGTGGAGAAAAAAAACGGGCGGGCCTGCAATTCTCCGCTTCCAGTACCAACCGGTACCAACCGGTATCGAACGGCCCGAATCGCTGCCCGATCACCACCGTGGACGGCCCGTATCGCAGGCCAATCAGAAAACTTTCTGATCGGCGTGCGATCCGTGCCGTACACAGTGGTGAGCAGCCAGCAATTCGGGCTGTGCGATATGACGTTTAGAAGTTTTTATAGTATTGCAGATGTAGATGTAGATGTAGACGTAGATGTAGATGTAGATAATAAAAACTGCCTGAAAGGCTATCCTCAGGCTTCCTGTTCAGATTCAACAGGTAATTGAATTGGTTGGGCTTTAGCCAAGGAGTACATCCAAGTCTCTTTTTGCCGAGGCGGATTCCCCCTGCACACCAAAATGCCAGCGACGCGTTTTTTCTTTTCTTCTTTTGGCTGGCAATGCCAGCCATTTTGGTCCTGTGGCACTGTTCGCGTGAACTTTTCGGATGGCTCATTTTCGATTCTCAAGTTTGCCCGGGTGGTGTACTGGCGGTTAAAAGGAATTAGCCTTTCAAAAGAAAAGGAAAAGAAGTTTCCAGGATGCATTTAATTTTTTCCAGGTCTGTGTTACCTAAGAGAGAGAAAACAAAATCTGCTGGATTGGGCGAAATAAGGAGTGCAACTACTCACAGGTGATTGATGCCTATGGTTCTCCCTCCTCTCGCTGCCATAATCTCGTAGGTTTTCCCGCACAGATCCTGAAGGAAAAGCTCTAGCGCTTTCGCTGTCATTGACAGACAAACCACCATGCACGAATGCAGATATGAGCACATAGCCTTTTTTCTGGTTTTGGTTTTTAAGCATGCAAGCATATTAGCGATCAAGCTTTGATGTCCTCCGAAACATCAATTAGAATTAAAACTATACAGAGCGGATTGGCATGAACACGGATGTTTCCTCGCCGACGTTGGAATTATGTCCGGGACATATCTGGACACGAGGATTCATCCATCCAGATGACCAGCCAGACATTCAGATATGTATGGGCGTCTGGGCCCAGCATAATCATCTGCCAAGCACCAACTGCCAGAAAAAGCCAGTGACCTTTAATGAATCCATAGCTAACTCGTCTCTCTCTCTCTCTCTCTCTCTCTCTCTCTCTCTCTCTCTCTCTCTCTCTTGCTGACATTTTGGGCCCGAGCACCCCTATTCAGATCCGGTTCCAGTTTGTCCGCACGTGTCCGCCCAGGTGTCAAGATCGGAACAGCGTCTGGCCCCTGTGTAACTATGCTGTTAGCACCGACTCTGCTGGAAAAGGCATTTGAAGTGAGGTAGAGGAAGAAGAGATGGTGAAGGGGAGAGTAGAGGAGATTGGAAGTTGTAAAGGAAAAGGGAGTTGCCTTACAAATTAAAACAGGAGTGGCTTGCGCTATCTTCCCCACATCCTCGTCGGCCTGCATTATCTTCTTTATCCGGGCCTACAGCACAAACAACACAGGCACAGCCAGAAAGGTCAACGAGCAGAAATATGGCAGGCATAAACTACTAAGTGTACGCAATCAGGTCGAGTACCCTCTTCACCGGAGTCCAACGTACAGTCATTATCGCTCTATCTGACCAAACATTTCCCCGAATACAGCTATAATGACTGTATGTCTAGGTTGTTTTTCCAGGCACCCTGGCACCCAACTTGTGCCCGGATATACGCCCGGGTGCCCGGCCGGGCATGACCCCCGGGCAGGGTTCCAGGCAGCCCCAGTGCAAGCCCCAGCCCCAAGAAAAAAAAAAAAAAAAAAAACGAAAGTAAAAAAATTCCAGAAAAAAAAATGTTGTGTAGAATTGCAATTCAAACGACTTTTGGCTGAGGGTCACATCAGAATTCCTCACCGAATCGGAGATAAAAAAAAAGAATAACAAAATCACACCAAGGGACCCCTCTTTAAACCCCTTTAAAAACAATTTATACCCCTATCCCCCCCTCCCCCCCCCCTAGACAGCCAACTCTCAAAAAATGAAAAGGGCCCAGATTTGGGGTTGTCTGGGAGAGCGCAGAAGGGCAAAAAAAAAAAAAAAATCACTTTTTGTTTTTTTGCACGCCCGGGTGCCCGGCCGGGCATGAAAATCTTCCTAGCTGTATGTTCTATCCAGGTGAACATGGTACTTGTATGACTACAGGGACACAATTGCTGCACTGCGATTGGCAACTAATGGATAAAGAAATATCTGCACCATACCCTAGGGTATACCCTTCCAGACCCTACCCTAGTGTATACCCTTTTTGACCTCACCCTAGAGTATATCCTTCCTGATCTTAAGAGTATATCGTACGTTACCCTCACAGTGGAGAAAGCAATATCCGCACCCTACCCTAGCGTATACCCTACCCTTCCCTACCCTAGGGTATACACTCCCCTACCCTACGGTATACTCTTCCCTATCCTAGGGCATACCCTTCCAGACCTTAGGGTATACCCTACCCTGATAGCAATATTTGCACCCTACCCTGGGGTATACCCTACTCCCTAGTAACGGAGAAAGCAATATCTGCACCCTACCCTAGAGTATACCCTTCCCTACCCTAGGGCATACCCTTCCTGACCCCAGGGTTTACCCTACCGTACCAGCTATGTGTGCATACTACCCTAGGGCCAAGGGTATACCCTTCCCTATACCCATACCTGCCCTACCCTTCCCTACCCTAGGGTACATCCTTCCCAGCCTAGGGTATACCCTACGCCAGGATGTTCCCTTCCCAGCCACCTGAGGGAAAGCGAAGCATACTTCGAAGAGATATACTCACATTGGGACTTCACTGACTGAATACAACCGTAACTGCGGCTGCATACATTCAGGAAAGTACAAGTGTGAGTATTCTCTTCTTATACGGTGAGTGAAGCAACAGCAACATCGCTACAAGGCTCTGCAAACTCTTAACTTAGGGCATACTCACACTGTGACGTTTTCACTTCTTTGCGAACGGAATTGCGGCCAGACGCATCCAGCTCCAGCCGTAAACGCAGTCAGATACAATTGAGATAGTGCTACTGTGAGTATGCCATCATTTAACTTACTTCACAGATGCTTTTCTTTTCTCTTCTTTTTCCAAAGGGCAAAAGGGCCTTGCCGTGTTGCCATGGGACTGACCAGCCCCAGAAAATTCAGAGTTGTCTTATTCACATCTGATTTCATCGCCAGGATTCAAACTCAGGATCTGTTTATCATCAATTACATGGGTGTGCCACTCTGCCACATGGGCTGGGTGACAACCTGATTTTTTTTTGGTGTGTGTGTGTGTGTGTGTGGGGGGGGGGGGGGGGGGGGGGGGGGGGGGGGGGGGGGGGGGCAGGGTGTGGGGGAAGGTGGTGTGCAGAACAGATACTTTTTCTTACTTCTGCCACCCTCTCAATTTTCACTAAGAAAAATAATAACCTGCTTTTTCTCGAAAGATGATAACCCGCTTGCTTTCAAGTAGTAATTCTCCTACATGCCCCCCGTCATACCATAGGAATTTCTTTTGCCCAAAATCGTCTTGAAGTTCCTGATAAACCAATGACTTTGATACATTGTGCACGTCAAGTGCGCGACATGTTTTTCGGAGTGTCGATCATATTACTAAGTGTGTTGTCGGTCCGAACGTGTCTGGATCATGGCCAAGTCCAGATGCATCTCGAACGTTGAGCGACGCCCTATCACTGTCGAATCAGTGACTGAGGTGAAGTCGTAAGAAGGTATCCCCCTGCTTGTTTCATTCTTCGCGCTTATTCATCCTCCTGGACCCTTTATCATCGGAAGAAGATGAAACAACTCCAGCTATGAACCCATTTAGCAAGCTTATGTTCCCTGGAACAATGAAACAGCGGAGTGTTTCCCGGCTACCAGGGGGAGCCTGCTCAAAGGGGGAGTTTTTAGAGGACCGGTACTCCTACCAGCCCCCCCTTGAGAGGTGTCTAGAACCCCAAGGGTAAGGCTTCTTCATCTGCTCTATCCCTCTTTTCATGTACTGCATGCTTGCCGGTGATACGCAGCCGGACTGTTGCCCCCCAGAATAGATGGGGCCTTTGTTTTTAATTTAAAAAAAAAAAAGCTGAAATAAAGGACCACGACTCTTTGAGTTGAGTTGCCGGCAGTTGTTGACGCCGACATTCAGCCGCACGATGACAAGAGAGTACCAGAATCACAACACAGTGTTGGCCTGTAATGAGATGATGACTCACATAGCGAAGCATGGCTTTGCATCCCATTACCAAAAAAATTCCAAGGGTCCCCCACTTTCCCCGAGCCTGTAATGAGATGACATATATGTCAAGACTCACCGAAGACAATAACATACTTCCCAAGGGTTTGGCGCATCCCCTCCAAAAGAGTTTGAAGACAAAAAAAAGGGGATTATATCTTATCTCCATTTGGATACTTCAGGCCTCGCCCCGCCGCCCACCAAATGTGCAAGATGAGAATGAATATTCTGCTAGCAGGGGAAGCCTTAACTATGAAAAGAACATGAAAAAAGATGCACGCCATAATTTTGATATTTTGTGAGTGTGGCGAGTGGTGGCGCGAGGCCCTTCAACTATCATGATGATGATGCAGCATTATGATGACGTAGGCCGCCTTGGCCCATGAAAGCAGGACCCCCAGGGAAGAGGGGTGGCAGTCCAGACGCCGGCCAGAGCCCGCATACGAACCTGACACCAAGTTGCCTTGCCTCCCTCCGCATTTCTTGGGCTGACGAACTGCGGTAGGGGTCTGCTGCCTGCTGTTTCGGCTCAGCTGCCAGGGGCTTTCATTGCAGGTTGCAGGCCTTTGACCAATCGGATACCGTGGACAGCACCTCGTGGACGAGGCAGATGAGACCGAACGCCGTCAAGATTTCACCCAGTAGAGCGTGTGTCCAGTTGCTCGCATTTCTGTCGAGGGGGAAGGGGGGGTTGTATCAACAGGTTGAAAGACAGTCGCTGCCACACCGAAAAGGCCACAAGATGCTTCCCGTTGGCGTGCGAGTGGCCTTCGATACAGGAGAGATCATGTTCTCTGCGACTCCATGACACCGCGGCAACACGTAGAAGGGAGGCGGCCGGAACCCAGGACAATTCGCCGATGGGTTGGATCGGTAGAGGCCCGCATGAGTTCACAAAGCAGCCATCGACGACGACGCAATGCCGGCCTCTCTGTATCATCATCACACTGGTATCCCAGCTGCTGTGAAAAGACGGGAGAACCAGAGGACGAAAAAGGACGGCGGAAACGAAACAAGCATGGCACTTCAACTTTCAAGTGAGATTCTCCTTCACTCTGAAACTGCACACAACTGCAAAAGCTAAGCGAGACAAAAAGCCAAACACAAACAGACCAAGGAGCAACCGGGAACTCTTTCCCTCCCATGTCATGTCATCCTCCCTCATTCCAGGGCTATACACATGACTCATCTGACCAGAAAACCAATCAGCTGCTGACATCATTTACTGCTGCGGTTGTGAGACTGTCATTCACCCGACATCTCCATCAAGAGGAGAAAGGAAGAAAGCACATACGTCGAATCACAAACGGCTAAAGACTAGACTACGCATCCAAGACTACCCAAACTTAGAGTGGAAGGCGAAAAGGAAACTTCGATATACTTGGCTCGCGAACGGGACGGTGGCAACCGGACCAATAATTGTTTGTTTGTTTTTCTTTTTAATACAACAAAAAAGTGGCAGCGATTCAAGGATTAAACACCAGAAGACTGAATGATTGGCACAACTCAGAGCCATCGACAGCAGGCCTTACCCGCATGCAGCAACAGGAAGCTTGAGATCATACTTGTACTTGACAACCAGAGAAGGGCACTCAAGCTTGGAGCTGGTTACCGATCGGACCCCTGATAAAAGAGTATACAGGGGTAAGATCTGTGAGCTATGGATGGAGGTGAGAATGGCAAGCTGACAGTCAATCCCCCAGTTATGGAGTAATCGATGCTGATAAGGGGTCCTTCGACCAGATGGAAGGAAGCGTGTGTGAGTTTGTAGTGTAAATCAGAGACTTGCTAGTGGGAAAGGAACCGGACCGATGCTCACCAGAATGGATATGGAGCCAGGCCCATAAGGACCTGTTCCTTGTTTAAAAAAAAATAAGAGGAGGAGAAAAAAAAAAAAATCACAAATGGCAGAACATCAAGGTCGTCCCCTAAGAACGTAGACATTGCAGTTCGCTGCAGGGTTCAAACTTCAAACCAGTTCTTACTGTCAATCCAAATCCTGACTGATATGAGCATGGCAGTGACAAATCACGTACATAGAATCACAAACGGGGCAAAATAACGGGGTAGGCTCCTAAGAACATGGAGGTTGCAGTTCTATCTGCAGGCCGCACAGTTCAGACCAGACCTTATCATCAACCCAAATCCTAGGTGAGCAACTCTCAAGGAGCGAAAGAGAGAGAGAGAGACAGAGGAACCACACACAGGATGCGCACACAAAGGCGGGGGGGGGGAGGAGGAGGGAGAGAGAGAGAGAGAGACAAACAGAAAGAGACAGAGACAGACAGAGACAAAGACACAGAGAGAGAGACAGACAGACAGGCAGA